TGTAAGGACTAAAAAGTTCCACCGAATATGAAAAATGGGACTTTGATAAGTGGGATCGTTCAAATTGCACGAATCTTATTATCATGAAGTGTGAAATTCCAGCAACATTCAGGGGTACTTTGTCTGATAAGGTAATTACTGTCAAAGAATTTCTTAAAGAATTGAACAATGATTAAAAGGCGATGATGCCGAAACTAGTACGCTTATGGTGAACTAAGTTTCACTAAAATATAAGGCTAAAGAAAACATAAGAGAGTACATCGTGGATATGTCTCATCTTGCTTCAAAAGTAAAAGTATTAAAGTTTGAGTTGTCTAATGACTTACTCGTGCATTTGGTTTTTGATTTTTATTCCTACACAATTCAATTAATTTACTATTAGTTACACCTTTCAAAAGGGAAAGTGAACTCTTGATGAGCTCATTTCATATTGTGTGCAAAAAAAAAAAAGTTTAAAGAAGATATTGGAAGTACTCACTTGACAAGTATTTCTAAGGATAATTTAAAGGATAATGAAGCTATATCTGGTTTAACTCAAAAGAAACAACAAAACCTTGAAAATGATTAATCAACTAGTTATTACTTCTATGACAATATAAGACACGTGAAGAGAGACTGTACTAAATACCACGCTTGCGTGTAAATAAAAGTACGCTTCTCACTTTGATTTGTTCTAAGGTTAATTTAGTTATAATATCTAGATACATTTAATGAATAAATTTCGGTGTCACTGCTCAAAGAAGTATGTCGATGCAGGGTTGCCTGAATAGCCGAAAGTCAATTGATACTGAAAGATTCATCTATGTGGACAATGGAAAATCAGTTAAAATTGAGGCTATATGGACATTTTGGTTATCAATAAAGACCGGTTATTATTTCGATTTGAAAGAGACATTTGTGGTACTGTATTTTAGATAAAATTTGGTTTATGTTTCTACAGTGGACAAGTTCAATTACTCTTGTTCAATTGAAAATAGTCAGTTTATCTTTTTTTTTTTTTTTTTTAATTCATAACATTTCTTTATCTGGTTATAATAACCTGTATTTGCTTAATACAGTTACCACTTTTAAAAAAAAGCTTGCATGTGAATTCACATGATGTTAAACGTAAATTAACCAATGGGGATTTTGTTTCCTTATGACACGAGCCTTAGGTCACATTTCTCAAAAGAGAATGAAAAAACTTACATCAGAAGGAATTTTTGATATCCTAAATTTTTCAGACGTAAGTGTGTATATTAATTACATTAAGGGAAAATAAACAAACATAAGGAGGTTAGGTGATAATAGAACTTCGAACATATTAGAACTAGTTCATACGGATATCTGTAGGAAATTCCTTTCGGCTACTTGGAAAGGTCAACAGTCATTTATTACTTTATAGATGATTTTTCTCGTTATGGCTATTTGTATCTCATTCATGAGAAATCACAATCACGTACATGTTTAAGTCTTATAAGGCCGAGGTTGAAAATCAACTCAACAAAAGAATAAAATACGTCAGATCCGACCGTGGTTGTGAATATTATGATCGATATGATGGATCAGGAGAACAATGTCCAGGCCTTTTGTTGAATTCCTAGAGAAATGTGGAATAATGATCAGGATCATAAACAAATTCTTACTTTAGATCTTATTAAATAAGTAATTTCGGATCAAGACAATATTACAAAACCCCATATACACAATCAAGAAATTGTTCGAGAAAAACAAACTGACCAACCTCAAGAACAAAACCAAGAAATTCCTGTCATGAAATTTCGAAGTGAAAGATTTTACAGAAAATTCTTTGTACTTCAACAGTTGGAAGTCTAATGTATCCTTAGATTTGTATACATCAGGATATAGAATTCATTATTAGAATGTTGGGTAGATACTTGAGTAACTCTAGGAAAGATATTTGGAAAACAGTTATGCGGGTTATTCTGTATCTATAGAAAACTAAGGATTACATGATCACGTACAGAAAATCAAATCAATTGGAGATCATTGGATGTTCTGTTCTGATCGTGGAATATGACTGAAAATTTTGTCACTGGACCGTACAGTTTTTGTTAGATTTGAAAGACCATTTAAGTTATTTTATGACAACAACAGTCATGTATTCCAATAGGAGCTCGATGATGTCAAAGTTTATAAATACCAAATTCCTAGTTGTTAAAGAAAAAATTCAGAGTGATCAAGTTTCAATAAAACATATTAGAACAAACTCCATGATTATGGATCCATTTACCAAAGGACTGCTATCTAATGTCTTCATGAGCATAATGCTCATTTGAGTATTGCATGTTTTGATGATATGACAATTTAGTGGAAGTTTGTATTTGAATGTTGTCTTGTTTAGACACAATTTTTTCATGGATATTCAGTTTGTTTTAAAAATAAAGTATTCAG